CTGCCTGTGATCCGGATTCTTTGTGTTGTGCTAGGTTCCCTTTCTCCATACTTCTCTCCGGGTTATTCCCTTTCCTTTGGGCCATTACCCTCGCCGACCAGGAGCTCAGAACAGCTTTTGGGACTGTTTGGAACTAAGATTTTTCCTCAACTCGCTCTGCTTTTGCTACCTTCCTAAAAGACACGTTGATGGGGGAGCTGAAGCAGGTTCTAGCTTAGAAAGTAAAATGGCCTTAAAGAGTTGAAAATAGGGTCAGTTTCTGGTTTGGAAAAGTCTGCAGTGCCCGTGAGTGCCGGCTTAGCTCACTGCGGGGTCTGCAGCTAGACTCATCTTTGCGGTACTAAGGAGTCAGAACCCCCCCCCGGGAGCATCCCTTGAGCAGTTCACACAAGGCTACCCTGACATTGACTGGTCCGAGGGTGGATTCTTCCTTTCAGTCCCTTTCCCCCTAAAGGCCAATCCTCTAATTCTGCCCTGGATGGGAATTGGTTACTTAATTGCTGTGGTTCCCTGGGGGACCTGTCGAGGAAGCCAAGTGCTTTCCAAGGAACAGCCATGCCCCTCGACCGCTCGCCCTTGGCAGAGATGAATTGACTGTGGTGTTGATTCATTCCCGTTCCAAGCAGTACGTGTGCTGTACTTACCCGTTGCAAGACGAGGGCTCCAGCTCATTGTAAATACACGACTTGGAGAAGGCAGGACTCGCTGCTGAAGTGGTGGGGAAGAATGTATTTTTATGCAACTTTGAGTGGCCTTTCAAACCCTGAGATGAATGATTTTCTTTTACTGGTTGTTGTTATATAGTATTATGTGTTTGAAAGTTTGGGAATAATATTCACATCTATATGATGCTTGTAAACACAACAGTATTTATAAATGGATGAAATAAAACAGTGTTTTAACTTCTGCCTCTGTCTGTCTAGCAGGGAAGTAGCATGGTGACTTTGGATGCAAAACAAACCTGATGATTTCCCCTAAGAGCAGCCAGACAGGGTAGGTCAGCTGAGCCTGTTACTTTGAAGGTGAGGGTCAAAGCACAGAAACCATGTTCCCCTTTTATCACTGTCGTGTCTTAAAATCTTACCAGAAATTTCCTTCTGTTGTTTGTGTTGCATTAGAAATACCTGGTCCTGACTCACTGGTGTTGGTCCTGGCTTCGGCCCAGTGTAACCTCCTGGGGCAGAGGGGTTAATATTTGTTTACATGGTGGTGGCTGAGCTGGGGCCAGTGACCAGTCTGTTCTGACTTGGAAACACCTCCAAGGGAGTGAAATTGCAGTCACAGAACCCTAAAGCTGGCAGCGACCTCAGGAGTCAAGTCCAGCCCCCTACCCAAGGCAGGACCAATCACCATAGTCGTTGGTTACGGACGATGGAATCAGAATGAAACTTAAGGCCAACATGCAGCATTTCCCAGAGATCCCATTTTTGCAGCAGCCCATGGCTGTTTGGAAGCTGCCCCCGGCATGAGGTACTGGGCTGTGAGCCAAACTTTTATGGACCCATCCCTTTTTAAATACACCTTTCCGGTTCTGGTTGTAGCACCTTGCATTCCTCCCACTCAGGTCCCTAGGCCGGGAGGAGACCAGGATCTAGCTTCTGCCAATCACAGTACAGCTTGCCAAGGATCAGTTCTAATCTTACTGATTCCTCGCTCCAGGGTTAGGACAGCCACGCTGGAGCAACAGGGCCAGGAGAAGCACTTTGGAAGGAAACCTATGGAGCGCCAGCATGGGTGAGATTTGCAGTGCTACTGCTGTGGGCCCTTCCCTAGTGCCGTGGGGGTCTGGGCCAGAGTCTGTGCGCCCTGGCTGCAGGCATCAGGTTGTCTCTCCTCCTCCCAGATGGTAGCAGCCCCCCATGTGCGTCCGCTCACCCTGCCCGGGCCCTTGACGCGCTAACACACCAGCGAGGCCCAGCCGCTGCTTTCAGCTCGTTTCTTTAATAAGGAGACGTACATTGTTACAAAAGAACAGTTTGACAACAGAGACAGAGTCCACACGAGGGGAGGGGCTAAAAGCCGTTTCCTGCTGCAGTTCAGTGCTGCAGGCGGGGATGTGGGAGATGCCAGGTGGGAGCTGAGGTCCAAGTGATCTCAAGGATGGGGGAGGGGGAGTTGCATGGAAGGCAGGGCCACCCACCCTAGCCCTGCCTGAACGTCACGTTTTGAAGACGGAGATCTTGTGCCTTCCTGCCGGCAGCAGCACGGGCTGTGAGCCATGGGCCTGTGCTGGGGTGGGACGGGAGGGTACACGACTGAAATAGGGGGCCCACCCCTGTGGCTAGCAGGAATTTCCCAGCATGGTGCGGCCATGCGTGTAGGGTGTGCAGGCCTGAGATGGCGCCTGCTCCTTCCCCAGGGTGCGCTGGGCTTCTCTGGGATGCTGAGCCTCACCTAGGCCTGGTCCCCTTGCCCAGAAGGCGGCAGGGAGACTCAAGACAGTGTGTGCTCCAGCTCCCCCTGGGGGCATGATGCCCTGGGCCCGGTCCTGTCTCTCCAGCTGGGCCTTGAGCCTGTTGAGCAATCTCTACCCTCCACAGTGCTGTCACGCCGGTGCCCCTGTCTGGAGCACCAGGCTCAGGGTCTGTGCCCAGTTGCTGTCAGCCAGCAACAGGTCCGGTCTTTTTGGATCTCTAGGCCCTGATACAACAGGCAGGCCCTCGGGCAGCACCAGGCTGGCACTGAGCACTACGGGCCTCCCCGGCATGTAACACAGGGATCCTAGTGTTTCAAACAGTGACGTTCAAACCCAGCTCCACAGGGCTTGGCTGTAGCTCTAAGCCAGGGTGTGGCCTCAGCCAGCCTCTTCCCCCCCCACCCCCACCCACCCCCACTGTGGGGTTTCCTTAATGAAACACGGGGAGACACGTTACCAAGAGGGGGCGGGAGGACGCAGAGGATCACCTGGTGGCCCGTCCCACACGAGGATCCTGGTAGGCCGTGATCTAATATGGCTTCTAAGTTTGCTTTGACAGTAAAATGCATCACACAGGACAGGACGCCAAAGCCACAGTGCCGCTGCTATCTGGACATGGTATAAATTCAACAAGATACACTTTTGCACATTGATTACAAGACGCACATAAAATTATCCCCCCTACTGGCTTATCTACCCCCTCAGACATTGTGGAATGGAGCAGGCATGCTTTGTTCCTTACTGGTTTAAAATTTGTTTTCTTAATTGACAAGACATGAGATTGTTGAGCCTACTGCCGTTGGGCAATAAAGGGTGGGAGTGTTCAACAGTTCTAGCCTCTTAAGTAAATCCGCTCCTACCCTGCTTTAAAAACAAGGCTGCCCCCTTGGCGTGTTCTGCCCAGTGAACAATGGCTCCGAGGTGTTCGGAGATGGATTCTGGTCTAGCCATGCTGCTATTTACAGAGTGGTTCTCGGTCATGCACTGGGACCACGGCAGGCTGGGTTTTGTGGCTAGCTATATACATGTACCTTTACACACAAGGGAGGGGTGGGGAGAGAATGTGGCTCAGATGGCTTGAGTCAGTTGGGAAGGGGGCACTCTTCCCCTTAAAAAAAAATTCCTAGATCTCTTCCCCCTCCCCTCAACTTTTAAACAGTCCAAGTTAATAATGTACCAAATTCTCTAGAGCAGGACTTGGTTGCGGGCGTGCAGTCTCCACAGGACCGGTGAGACCCCTGCTGGCTGCCACTGGCTTG